AAAAAAAAAAAAAAAAGAAAAAAAGAAAAAGAAAAGAAAAAAAGAAAAAAAAACCCAAGAAAACCACAAACCTCATATATCATTCTTCTTTATCAGAACTTTAAGTTCTATGATTTCCAACTTGTTACAAATCTAACATGAGATTGATGAAAAGAAGTGACCATTTCTTGAAAGAGGAGTTAAGTTGGTCAGGGTGTTTTTTGGGGGAGGGAGGGAGGGAGATGTGTTAGCCAGTCAGGGAAATAACACAGGAGGGAGGAAGGATGGTGGGAAAGGGTTGTTGCAGGAATACAGCTGAAGCCTAAGCCGGGTCCTCATGACAAGTTGAATAAAATGTGCAAAATTGGGAGCTAATGAAAGCCATATGACCAGATATGTTGTTTCGTAGGCAGGATTTAACATGCATAAAATAAACTTTTCACTGTGCCTACAAGCAAAATATAGAGACGCTGGCCTCCTGATGTGTAGTTAAAGCAGGTTCCTTTAGGACACCAGAAGTCTGGATACGAGGGTCTGCCTTGGCTAAACACAGAGAAAGTGTAGCTGCCGAGCTGTATCTGGGGTAAGGGGCGGCATTCGCAGAACTGCATATGCAGAAATGAAGTAGGAAATAAAATCATTAGGTTGCAGAGGAACAGAGGGAATCTGAGAAGGAAAGACAGAAACGGGATCAGCGTTGGTTAACTCCAAACCTGCCATTACTCTAAAAAGGATGGCCCCAACCCCTCTATAAAGAAGGGAACCTCCCCATCTTTTTCTGATGGGACTCCAGGACGGCAGTGGCCCTGGGGGTGGGGGCACATCTAAACCCACCCCTCCCCCGCTCATGAACCCTGGGGACCTGGCAATACCACCCTGCTTAGGAGTTCGGGAGCACCCACCCACCCAGATGAGACCCTGGTTCCGCTGCTTACTAACCGGCTAACCGCCGGCCTCAGTCTGCTCATCTATAAAGTGGGCTTCACAATCCTCAACTGCAGAGTTAAGCACGTGCTCAGAAAATACTAGGGGATGGGATTTCGGAGATGCCTGGGGCTCTCTCTGAACGGCTGTGTCACAGGAACCTGCGGCGCCCCACCCCCATCGCCGCCCCCCATCAGAAGAGCCACCCTCTCGGTGTGACTCAGACCGCGTTGGCCACGGATGCCACCGAAGTGCCCACCTGCCTGGGTCAGCCCACCAGCTGTGATGTCATTCGCTACCTGAATCCCCAACCTCGGAGCTGAGCCATCCTGGAAATGCCTCCTCACTCCGTGGAAGTGAAGGTGGGGGCGGGAGAGGAAGCAGGCAGGTTAAAATAACTTCGGTCGACTGTTCTGGACGGGCAATCATCTTTTCCCTGCCGAACTCCGGGGCCCGGGGGTGGGGAGCGGGTCAGCCCAGCTCCTGACAAGCATCTCCTGTTCCTGCCTCGGGTTGGTTTCTCTTTCACTTCCTGCGCCCTCCCCCCGCCGCTCCCGCCGCCCCCACCCCCATCCCGGCCCTGCGGTCCCGCTGCTCGCTCGGCTACTGTACCTTGAGCAACACCTGCTGGCAGCTCCCAGGGATCACGCCGGAATGCGGCCGCCGCTCGAGCCCGGCTCGCGGGGCTGGAGTCCGGGCCAAGCCGTGCGCAGCGGCCGCCTCTATTTTTACCCCGAGCACCAGCAAGGGCAACTTCTTTTAGGAGCGGCTCTTGATGTTTTCCCCCCTTTTGGCAGCTAGAGAAGTCAGAGAGGGGAGGACGAAAAATAAAAATGAAAAAAAAAATCACTGATCAGGGAGGGAGGGAGGGAGGGAGGGAGGGCAGCTGGGAATCTCCGA